CTGTGCGTTGGTCCAATTTTGGGGTCCGCAGAGCGACTCTGAAACCGGAACCCCAACACGGGAAGCAAATCTGGTCGCAAGCATGGGAGCACAAAGCAGCCCGACAAGTAGTTTGAATGATCGGTGCCGACATTGTGGTTCCCAAAATACGGAGTTTCCGTGGCTCTAAAACTCGGCCCGCGGCACGGCCCGTAAACTGGTGACCTTGCTACTGCTGGCATTAAGAAAGCTGCCCGGAAAACGGTGCCTGAAACGAGGCCGGAAGTCGGATGTTTTGCTTGCCAATCCAATGCCCTGTGGCTGCCCAACCGTTCTCTACACTAGACCAAAAGCTTGCACGTAGCTTGCTGCGACATGGCCCTACATTGCACTATTTGTCCTTCCCCCAGACAGAGAGAGGGGCATGTAAGCTGCTTGAATTCTTATAATACTGTAATTAAGGGATATTGCTTATAGTAGCCCTTATAATTAGCCTTTATAATCAGCCTTCATAGACCCCTTTAAGGGAACCCTATTCAAATTGGTAAGGCCCCCATACATCAAGCTTTCCGAGGTCTCGGGTCTCTCACACCGGCGCACCTCGCAAGTGCAGCGCTGGCGGCGGCAACGCGCCTGGGCGTTTCTTTGAAGTTTCTCCGGCTTAGGGTTCAGGGTTTCTCGGACCTAGAGTAGGCCCTTATTCCCTTTTTTAGGGTTCAGGTTCCCTTTTCAGCGCCTTTAAACCAAAAAGGGCATCCTTTTTGTTCCTAGGCTACTCTTGGGTCTAGGTTTAGGTTTACGGGTTTAGGGTTTTAGGATTCAGGTTTTAGGGTTTCGGGTTCAGGATTCAGGTTTTAGGGATAAAGCGACCTACTCCAAGGCAGCTTTGGTTTTGGGGCTTTTAGGGCTTCGGGCTTCTAGTGGTTACTTGGAGGATCATGGGACTTAGTAAGTAGGGTTATAAGTAAGGTAACTATAGTTATATTTACTTATAACTTTAATTGAGGTACTTTTAACCCTACTTACTAAGTCCCATGATCCTCCAAGTAAGGTGTAAGGGATTTCGAAACCCTAAACCCTAAACCCTAAACCCTTAATTTGAAACGCTGCGCGTCGTCCGCCGCGGCCCGGCTGTACGCGCATGCGGCGAGTGGCTACTATCTGCAGCAAGCTCTTGTAGGAAAAAAGTAGCAGTTGGAATCGCACTTATAGTAAAAGTAATGTTCATAGCAACACGAAGCAGGGGGCAGGGGCGGGGGAGGGGGGCGTCGTGCCTTCGGGTGCAGGTGTTTTCCGGGCTTTGAAAGTTTTTCAGGCTGGGGTTAGGCTGTAGGGTTAGGAATTCAGGTTTGAAACTCCCTTGGTACTGCAGCCTTACAAGCGAGCCCCAATTTTTCAGGCTGGGGTTAGGGTGTAGGGTTAGGAGTTCAGGTTTGAAACTCCCTTGGTACTGCAGCCTTAAAGGCGCGCCCCAAGAGATAAACATGCTGCATTACAGTCCGGTCATCGGAAATTCCCAGAAAGCTCGCACCTGTCAGCGAGGGGGGAGGGGCGGGAGGGTGGGGGAGGAGGGGAAGCGGGGGGTCAGGGCGGGAGAGGGGGGCGTCGTGCTTTCGGGTGCAGGTGTTGTCCGGGCTTTGAAAGTTTTTGAGGCTGGGGTTAGGGTGTAGGATTAGAAATTCAAGTTTGAAACTGCCTTGGTACTGCAGCCTTACAGGCGAGCCCCAATTTTTCAGGCTGGGGTCAGGGTGTAGGGTTAGGGATTCAGGTTTGAAACTCGCTTGGTACTGCAGCCTTTAAAGCGAGCCCCAACACATAAAGATGCTACATTGCAGTCCCGTGTCGTCGAAAACTCCAGAAAGCTCGCACCTGTCAGCGAGCGAAGGAGGGGCGGGAGGGAAGGGGGGAGGGGGGGGGAGGCAGGGAAGCGGAGAAAAATTGGGTGGGACTGCCTACAGACTGCCAAAATCCATTGGAGAAGGCGAGAATTCACCGCCGGACCTTGGGGCTCATCATCGACACGTTTCCATTTTTTAGGGGGTGGGGGGGGGGCAGTGGATAGAGAGAATCCGAATAGGAACCTCTGACCGCTTCGGCCGGGGCCGAGGCGAATATGCCATGGTCTCAGTCCATTGGATCCTAGACGTTCACCCCCGAGCCTGAAATACTTTTCCTTACGGTTCCCTGATAGGTTTCTACTAATTTGGTCGTTTAGGGTTTAGGGTTTAGGGTTCTAGGATTATCATGCACCACCCAAGCCCCATTCTATCTATGAACGCCACTAAAATGCGCAGCGTCTTGCGAACCTACCAGGCTCTTGCAACCCTTCAACGGGCGCAGTTTCTGAGTTTCAGCAACCAGTATAAGGTGTAGGTTCTAGGGCCAGGGGTTTTGAGGTTTAGGGGTGTTGGGGTTTAGGGTTGAAGGTGTAACAGGGTTTATAAATTTCTAGCCCCTGTCCAACGTTTTCAGACCTCCGTTCTGGCGTCGGTACTCCTAGTGCTAATTGGGAGTTTCCGAAAATAGGGAACCCTAATATAGTACTCTAAATAATAGTAGGATCATAAGGCTAATTTTCGGAAACTCCCTAAACCTTAAACCATGTAGAGAACCCTTATAGGAACCCTTAACGGATCCCTTTAAAGGAACCCTCAAAGGCCCCTAATTTTCGGAAACTCCCAGTTAACCCTCTCAACCCATGTTCTTGAGACCTGCAGAGGCACTGTGATTGCTAGGATGCCCAGAAGTACCCTTATTCCGTTTTTGTAGTCCCAGGTTCCTTATACAGTTACCCAATACCAAAAAAGGGAGCCCTTTTTATTCCTTGGTTACTGGGCATCCCAGATTGTCTTCCTTCGCATGTCATGGGTGAAATTAGGGCCTCTCTCGGGTTCCTCAAAAGGGCTCCTGGATCCTTCGAGGGTTCCTGGAAGGGATCTATGGGGCTTAGGGTTCCTATAAGGGATCTATAGGGTTTAGGGTTTAAGGAGTTTCCGAAAATTAGGGGGAACTTTTTTTGGTGTCCTTATAATAAGGATCCTATTATTTAGGGTGCTATTATGGTCCCACATTGTCGGAACTCCCATATGTGTACAGTATAGTGCTCACCGAAAGCCTCGTTTCATCTGTATTGAGGCTTCTCTATCAAGGGTTTATACAAACACCGTTGTGTAAAAGACACTGCGCAACCCCGGAGTGGGAGGAACCCCAAACCTTGAACCTGAAAACTCTAAGCCATAAACGCAAACATCCCCAAACCCTAAACTTTGAACCCCAAACCCTTAGGCTAAAGGCCTAAACCCGAAACCCTCAGCCGTAAAACACCTGAACTCTGAGCCCTAAACGTTCGGGCCGAGGTTGGGCCATGTGCAGAATGGCATCTTCTGGCAGCAGGCTTGGGTGGGGTAGGGGCAGTGTAGGGTGGGTGGGGTAGGGCATTGTAGAGTAAGGAGGGTAGGGTAGGGCAGGGTAGGAGCATCGAGTTTCAGGGGTTCACAGCTCTTGCACGTATTGGGGCGATGGATTGGACTGCTGAGGTGTATCATGCTTCAGACTCATCGCCTTACAGTCAAGCTCTGGGGGACCTTGCTAGCACCCAGAATGAGGTTTGAGGGTTTAGGATCGAGGGTTTCGGGTTTAGGGGTTTAGGGGTTTAGGGGTTTGGGAGGTTTAGGGGTTGAGGGTTCAGGGTTTAGGGTTTCGGGTTTAGTGTTTCTGGTTACGGGTTTCGGGTTTAGGTAAACTCTAACGCCCTAGACCCGTAAAAAAGGTTGGTCCCTGGAATTCTATTCTGGATGCAAGGATAGTGCTTTCGGGCCTCTGCTTCAAAGTTTACTGCATTCAGGGTTTAGGGTAGGGTTTAGGGTTGTCATGCGCGACTGTATTCACGCTCGTCGTGGTGAATTGACGCTTCGGGGAAGGCCAAAGCATAGAAAGAGCCACACTTTACAAGGGTTCTGATCGGGCTTTACAGGATTTAAGGGGGGCCCTGCAGTCGAGAACGCTTAGACCCTTAAACCCCGAACTCTAAAGCCTAAACCCTAAATCCCTGAGCCCAAACCCATTTCTTAAACCTTTTCCTAAACCCCGAACCCTACATCCCTGAGCCCTAAACCCTACCCTAAACCATCCTAAACCCTTAAACCCTGAACCCTCGATCCCAAGTCTTCAACCCCAGTTCCTCCCCCCCTCAACTCCAAAAACGGAACGTCGTAACACCCTACGAAACCCATCAGAGCCCCAACTAAACCCGAAAGCTGTGAGCCAAACATACCCAAACCCTACAATTCCCAAACCTTTGCACCCGCACGAACCACCTACTGGGTTCTTATTAAGGGTTTAAGTTAAGTTACCAGATAGGGATCTAGAGTAAAATATACGGTTTCCCTGTTATGGTAAATTAAGTTTAAATCCTTTGACAAGCAGCCTACGAAGCCTTACCATGAAGTCAAGCCTATCTAGCAATATTGGGCTTTCCTTCAATCCTCTTCTCGGGGCGACGGATCGGCCGAACAAGTTCCACACCTCCTTCACGGCCGACAACGTGAAGAACACCGTGGCGTGGTATAGATCATTGGTTTCCGCCACTCTGGTGGTCCGTGCCTACCGACTTCAGGGCAGAGCTGGTAACCGCCGAGAGGTCGTGTTTTATGAGCATTTCCACATGGCGAAACCTGTCTCGAGGATCACTGTGCCGCCTCTTCAGGATTTGCTCGTGTGCGCGGACACGAGACGGGACGAGCCTCCCGAAGTTCGCGATGACGATGAGCAAATCGTCCTGAATGTCCCGTTGCTCGCTCCCTCCCAGAACATTATCGTGACGGAGGGCGAGGACCTTACAGAGGCGCATCTTCCTGTGTGGAACCCGAAACCCTAAACTGTGAACCCCAAACCCTGCACCCTGAATCCTAAACTCTAGTCCCTTCTGAGCGCTGAAACCATTAAACCCTAGAGCCTAAACCCTAAACCCTAGACTCTAAACTCTAAACCCTAAACCACACCCTTAAAGCCTTCTTTGTCAGATGCACGGCGCCTTGAATGCCGCTTGCAGCAAGCTTGCTCCCCACAGCGTGGTGCCTCGGCTTCTTAGCTGTCTAGGGTTTAGGGTTTGGGGTTTAGGCTTTAGGGTTTAGGGTTTAATTAGGGTTTAGGCTTTAGGGTTTAGGGTTTAGGCTTTAGGCTTTAGGGTTTAGGGTTTAGGCTTTAGGCTTTAGGGTTTAGGGTTTAGGCTTTAGGGTTTAGGGTTCAGGGTTTAGGGTTCTTAGTAAAGGTGCTTTGATTTGTGGCATAGGGTTTCGAGGTAATTTCACTATTGTGCAGTTATATGGAGCCTATAGAGGGTATCATTCCCGAGTATGCAAACTCTTGAGTACTTACGTATAGTCGCAATCAACACCTTGTGACAATTTTCCATGAGGATTCTTAGAACAGGGTCCTAAAACCAAACCCCACACTCCGAACTCTAAACCCTCATCCCCTCAGACCGTCAACCCGAAGCCCTTAAACCCTCAAACCCCAAGCCATTTTTTACAATCCCTGTGCATACTTAGAGGTTCAGGGGAACTTAGTAAGTAGGGTTAAGACTGGGGAAACTATAGCTATGTCTACTTAAACCTAGTTAAGGTACTTACAAGCCTACTAACTAAGTCCGGGCCCCGTAGAACCTCAAACCGTATAGATCCCCTATAGAATCCTTTAATGAGGCCTTTCAGTTCCTAAGTCCCATGATCCTCCAAGTAGCCCTTAACTTGGCGTTCTTCTGGTTGGCTCTTAGGACTTTAGCTTTTTGGGTTTCTATATAACTACTATAAAGAGGCTAAAAGTTTAACTGGGGTTCAGAAGTCAGCCAAGTTAATAGAAGTGAACTCCGAGGCTGATGTGCTTCTGGCCCTGGCGACACACCAGCTCTGCCCGGTGACACTTCTGGAGGACCAGATGGGGCGTAAGGCTTTAGGGGTTTAGGAGTTTAGGGGTTTACGGTTTAGGGGGTTTAGGGGTTTAGGGGTTTGGGGTTTTAGGGTTTCAGAATCTTTGTCGTAAGCCTGAAAGAAACCTTTACAAGACACCATTGAAAAGAATCCAAGGAAACTAGCGGAAACCCTGTAGCCTTGAACTCCTAAGACCTAAACCTTTAGACCCTAAACCCCTAAACCATATGGGTGGTTGTCAAAACTATGGTCCCTTTTGGGGTCCCTATTATAGTACGGCACCTATGATTCAGGGTACCCCAAAAAGGGACCATAATTTTGACAACCACCCATATGACCCTTAAACTCTTAATCCCGTCAACCCTAAACTCCTAAAGCCCTTAACCCCTAAACCCTAGGATCAGGGGAATTAGTAAGTAGGGTTATAAATAAGGTAACTATTGTTACATCTACTTATAGCCCTAATTACGGTGCTTATAACCCTACTTACTAGGTCCCAAGATCCTCTAAGCAAAACCTAAACCCTAAACCCTATATGTCGCTTTAAAGAGCCCTATAGATCCCTTGAATGAGCCCTTAATCCCCAAACCCTAAAACCCTGTCATCAGAGGGTAAAAGGAGGGACCCCTGATAAGGACCCCTAGGTATATACCCATCATATAGCCATTATATATCTATTATATAGCCCATTTTGGGGAAGGGGTCCCCATGAAGGGTCCCTCCTTTTCCCCTTTGATGTCAGAACCGATCACAGGAGCTCCAAACCTTGCTTCCGCGGGTTGCGCCGGAGATGCAGCCAGATGAGGCCTTCCGAAGCGAACCCTCCTACTTAGAGGATCTTGGGACTTAGTAAGTAGGGTTATAAGCACCGTAATTAGGGTTATAAGTAGATATAACTATATTTACCTTACTTATACCCCTACTTACTAACTAAGTAGACCCCACTCCCAGTAGCGGATGAGGCGCTGACATCGACTTGGGCCCTGATGGCGCTCCTTTTCACGCGGGCAGGTGCCTCTTGGAAAGGGCTTTGGGGTTTTAAGGTTTAGGGTTTAGTAGGGTTTAGGGGTTTATGGTTCAGGGTTTAGGGTTCTAAGGCTTCGGGTTTAGAGCTTGGGGTTTAAAAGGGGCTTTTGGGCTTGTGTTTCGAGTTTAATGAGGGGTTCGAGGGGTTTAGATTTTCAGGTGTTACGGTCTGTCAGGGTCCGGCTTATAAGCTATTGCAAACTAAGATGTACCCTAAGTAGGGGCTTCCATACTTTTTGAGGTTGGGCCTGGTTCAGGCTTTGGGATCGTCGGGGTTGAGGGATTTAGGGTTGAGGGGTTATAGCTCGGGTTCGGGATTTTTTGGTCTTAGCTTTAAGCCTTGAGGATGCTTTGATGAGTTATAGGATCCAAGGGGGGAGGGTATAAGGAATCCTTAGGGGACTGTAAGGGAACCTTAGGGAGTACTAGGGAGAATTAGGGATCACTAGGCTATATACCCCCCTTTTGGACCCCCCTCCCTTAAGGATGCTTTGATGAGGGTTTGATCGGGTTTCATTTCGCCTGCAAAGCCAGGGCCAAGTCTCATCGGAGTTCAGGTTTGCAAAACCCTCAGCGATGTGTTGTACATCTTGGGTGCGGCCCCCACTCAGTAATAGTTGAATATTATTCATAATATAGATATATTAGGACCTTAGTAGTAGTCCTACTATAGACTCTTACTTTATGGGGGCAGTATGTAATGTACATCTCTGAAAAGAGTGAGATGTGCTGGGCTCTCATCAGACACGGATCTCCTGGTGGACAGTCGAGACCCACTCATTTGGAAGCAGCCAGATTGCCCGTGAACCGGGCCCCGTCTCACAGAGACGTTGTGTCTTTAAGGTCTCCAAAAAAACCCAGAGAGCCCAATACCCCTTAACGAAGGAGTATAGCTTAAACCATATAGGGCTTCATATTATGATTTAAGCTATATTCCTTAATTAAGGGGTATTGGAGCCCCCTAAACCCCAAAACCCTATTAAATCCCTTATAGATCCCTTAAAGGAACCCTAGGTATTCCTTAATTAAGCGGTATTGGAGCCCCCTGAACCCCAAAACCCTATAGATCCCTTATAGATCCCTTAAGGAACCGTAAGGTATTCCTTAATTAAGGGGTATTGGAGCCCCCTAAACCCCAAAACCCTATAGATCCCTTATAGATCCCTTAAAGGAATCTTAAGGTATTCCTTAATTAAGGGGCATTGGGGGCTCCCTGGGAACACCGGAAACCGCAAGGACTAGAACGGGTCTTTGCCTGGCTGGCTACTTAGAGGATCCTGGGACTTAGTAAGTAGGGATCTCTAGGGTCCCTTTAAGGGATCTATAGGAGGTACTATAAGGGTTTAGGGTTTAGGGTCTACTTGGAGGATCATGGGACTTAGTAAGCAGGGCTATAAGTACCTTAATTGGGATATAAGTAGATATAACTACAGCTACCTTGCTTATAACGCTACTTACTAAGTCCCATGATCCTCCAAGTAGCAAGACCGGTCAGACCCTTCAAAGCCCCTTCACAAGCAGCAAACATACAGCTTCAACGCAAAGAAGGCTCCTGCCCCAAGCTTTCAGATGTACATCCCAAGCCTTCGAGTTCTCCCAATCCATATTTCAACAGTATGAGAGCCTGCTGAGAGGGTCGGAGACTCAGTAAGTAGTTGTTTTATAGAGGTGTAAGTATCATAAATAACCCCACAATTAGGATCCGTTTTCAAGTGCTTATAACTCTACTTACGAGGTCCCCAGACCCTCCAGGAAAGCCCCCAAAGCCAGGCGTGCTGCCCGTGCTGCTGGACAGGGCACTTCAAGGCGACCTGGGCCAGGCCGAGGTATCTTCCTGCAGCTGCATGAGGGTTTAGTGTCTAGGGGTTGGGGTTTTAGGCTTAGGTTTGTAGGCTTGGGGTTTAGGGTTTAGAGGGGCTCTGCGGCATCTATGAGGTGCTATGGGGCTTCTGTTGCGGTTGCGAGGCGAGTGTTCCATCAGGGGTAAACTGAGTTCGTCGCTGAGTTTGGGTGTAATTTGGGAGTGTGTGCGGCACGAGTTTCGGCTAGATGTACGATCTAACTATCGCTTTTTGCAGAAGGTTGTGGGGTTTTCAGGGTTTGGAGGATGTAACGATGTAAGCTTCCTAACGGACTTGAACTTGCGCGAATACACTCTGAAAGATAGGCCCAAAGGATCTGCAATTTCAGCTTCTTAGCAAACCCGTAAAGAAGACCATACTGAAGTCTCTTTAAAGAGTGTTTGCTCTACAGTCTTTCGGCGGGGCGAATTCTGAACCGCACTCCAGACTCTGCTCCCATGCACAAGTTCAGGCATGCATCTTTTCTTAAGGGTCAATCTCCGGCTTGGGTGTAGGCCCTATAAGCCCCAGACAGCGGAATGCAGGAATGTAATAAGAGCCAGAAATCCTCTTCTGGGGGTGCAGTCAGTTGCAGAATTGGCGTTTTTCCATTCACGCATCCGGGGGCCTGCGAGCAGTTCGGAGGCACTTGAACAACAGCGGGGCCTTGGAGCACATGCTCTGGGAAGAAGTCCAGATTGCGTCGCACGGATGTGTAACCCGCACACATGCTGTCAGCGGCACAAAGTTCGAAGACGGCAAGAACAGTCTTCTCTTGACGAGCGACGTCATTCACTACGTCATATTCAGCTTGTAATATCAAATGCTGGAAGCTTCCTGACGAGATTCGCTGACGAATGTAAAGTGTGGCGTTGACGACCAGGACAGCTTCAGACGTGGCATTGAGGTGTTTCGATTTCAGCGATTTCAATGCCCAGCATACCTTGCTATCCATGTTGCGTGCACTGTTCTGGAGAGCTGAGGCTGGTACCGACCATCGGTTCGAGAGCAAGAGGTAGTAGAACCTGGAGGGTTGGGCTCTAAACCTCACACCGGCCTTCCTCCTCATCAAGGATCCTATTGTATTTTGTATAGTGAGTAAGTAGTTTTTATTGAGAATGCCTGATCAACAAGGCCCCGTTGCTATACGGTCCTTCATGTGAGGGTCCCTGCCATAGTCCCGATGAACGGAGGGAGTGCGCAATCAGGGCTCTACATTAAAGGCTTTATATGGGGCTTTATGAGGGCTTTAGTTTGCAAAAGCTGTTTTGATGGTCGGCTGTAAGTAAAGCGGGGGCAGGATCAGCCCTGATGAGCACGCATACGGCTCTACCTACGACCGACTTACCTAATCCCCTAAACCCTAACCCCTAAACTTAAACCCAATACCTCACAGCCTGACCCTAAACCCCAATGCAACAATCCACTACAAACATATCCTGATCCTTCGAGCAACGAGATACAAAGACCGTTTACATCGCTGGCCCCACGCTGCCTAGCGACTCCGCAACCACACCATGTCTCATCAAACCCAAAACCTAAACCCTACACCCTAAAGCCGAAAGTCTAAACCCATAACGTAACTAGGCTCACCATCAACCCTAAACGATTCCACTCCTGGAGTTCTTGCAGAGACCCTGAACCAGGGTTGAGGGTTTAGGGGTTTAAGGGACATGTTGTGCAGAGTCTATTCGACTTCGGTAAACCCAAGGGGTCCATGTACCTAGTCCTCAGATATCCCCCAGAATACCGACCCCTTTGTGTTCCTGAACCCCAACCTGGAATTCCGCATCGCGACGAGCTTTCCGTCCGGAAAGGCGCGGCAGCTTCGCCAGATCTTCTTGTCTCTTCGGTCCGGCTCCTAAAGCCCAGGAGATTTCAGGTAGTCAGAATCCTGGCTGCATACTGTAGTTATTATGGGCTTTCATAAGACCTCACGGGGCTCTAAATTGATGTGTATGTCCGGCTATAGTAGATACCCAGAGGGTCCAAGTACCCAAATATTAGGGTTTTAGGTCCCCAAATCCATGCTCTGAATGGCTTGTGGACGTTGAAACCTTACAATTTCGGTACTTGGACCCTCCAGGATAAATATCCAGCTGCTCTCCTTGCAGGCCCTATTAAGGGGAGTCACAAGGGCGTGCAAGGCGGAGCAGCATACCTCAACAACCCTAAACCCTAAACCCTAGCAGTGATTGTGCTAACTGGGCTCTTTTCAAAAAAAAAAAAAAAGCAATTTCACTTACCACAACGGGGATCTACAGTATATAACTCCGTATTTTGGTAGCTTAACCTCTGCTTAGATATTTCCTTATTATGGTGACTTCATAAGCATTGGCTCCTTAACAAGAACCCAGCTTTGAAGGAGTCCGGCGGCCTTCCAGGTATTCGAACAATAATCATGGCAACGGAGCTTGCAGGATCACAGATACGGGTGTCAAACCTCGAACAACCCCAGTCTAAAACGTCACTTATTCCCAGCAGCCTCTTTACAGACATGTCGTAGTAGGGTGACCACCTACAATGTTACAAGGGCCACTCGTACCTTTCGGAAAAAATCCTGTCACCGAGGTTCTGCATGCAACACTCGTGTGGGTTGTTTTGAAGCAGGTGCCAAGTTTGGTGGTTAGGTGTTCTTCGCTGCCATAGTTGGCCTCAAAGGTGACGTGGATTACACTGGCAAGTACTGGGGCCTCATCCGAAGCTACAGCAACGTCCGAACAAGAAGAGACGCAGCTGGAGAGATTACGCCCGCAGGGTGTGGCCAGTTTGGCTCAAGTGAACCAAGCTCGAGGCAGGTCATGGAATTTACAGCCAGAGCACGAGCACCCTTTGTTGTGTGGGCTACAACTATAACTGGCGTTTACTGGGATGGCGCTGTCGTTGTCCTTCGGCAACAAGTTCGGGGTCAATCGTGGATGCTTGACATTGCTCGCAATCGGAGTGGTGAGTACACCGTCATCGTACCTCCGAGGTGCGAGTATGGACCATCTTGTCACATGTGCCTCGCTGCTGGCCGCACTGGATGCCGACCGTGGGCTTACTGTCAAGGAACTAGAATTCAGCTACCATACTATGGAAACGCTTTAGTTTTCATGTAATAGCCCTGTTCTGGTAGCTTAGACGAAGCTCTGTAATCCCAGGCCTGAACACTCCTGGACCACCCTGTACCAAGTATCTATAGTCTTGTGACTTGAACTGAGGTTTCTAAACCCCTAACCCCTAAACCCCAAGCCCTCAACTAGGAACCCTCGACCCCTAAAGCCCTAAACCAAAACCCTATCCCAAAGAGCCCAATACCCCTTAGTTAAGGAATATAGCTTAAATCATAGTATGAAGCCCTATATAATATAGGCCATATTCATTAAATAAGGGGTATTGGGCTCTCTGGCAACCCATCAACCTTGCACTCTGAACCCTACGCTGGGGGTTCAGGGCCTTCTGTTGCCGTCGGCCGACACCCCAAGCTTTCTAAACCCAAGCGTAAAATAGGAGCCTTGATAGTTAGAATAGGGTTTTGGGGTATATTTTACTATTGTTATAATAAGGAACCGCCAAAACCGTTTCTATTCAGTAAGGCCCCCATATCAAGCCTCTAAACCTATGAAGACTGTAAGATCTCCACCCCAAACACAAGTAAATGGACCTGGGAACCCATAAAAACCTTTACGAACCGCTACAAGGCATTATACGTGGCCAAAACCCCTTCAGCAGAAGTACAAACTGTTTGGTAGACAGCATGAAGTCCTTACAGACACGTGTGGCAGTTACAGAAAGTTTTCTAGAACGTTATAACACTCTGACCAGCTCCTCACAGCCCTAAACACCATAAAGCCCTCCTTAGGAACTATTTTTGTTCATATAAAACCCAAGAAAATATTAACACTACTTTGTTTGTTATGGTTCTAACGGGGGTATAGTATATCAACCATGCACAAACTTAAAGCCACAGTTTTTGATCAAGAGACTTTACAACAACCCTGTCCCACAACCCTGTAGAGCCACCCTTGAGCGCTTAATCCCCAAAGCTCTAAACCCAAACCCCTAAACCCCCACCCGAAAACAACTATAGTACCCCTATAGATCCCTTATGGTAGCCCTTATAGACCCCTTTAAAGGAACCCTAGTCTAATTATTAAGGCTCCCCATACTAGGGCTTTCTCCAAGTAGACCATAAACCCTAAACCCTATAGATTCCTTTAAGGAACCCCTTATAGATCCAACCTTCTGCCTACCGTATCTAGGGCTTTAGTGGCGAGGCTGGAAGAAGGAGCCGAGGAGGCTTTCAAAGCCCAGGCGGGGTTGCAGGGCTTTGAAAAAGCCCTTTCTTCGGGGTACTCAGATTTTGTTGTTTAATTTTTGGTTCTTATGATCCCGAAAAACAGCAAAAAACTGATTGTTGTTAGGGGTCTAAGTTCAGTATAGTTTTCGTACGTCTAGCGTTTGGGGTTGTGGGTTTAGGCTTTTGGGTCCATGCTTTGAGCCACTTTTACCGGGTTAAACGGGTGCGTAAACAGGGTTCCATGAGGGCTGAGTGTTCAAGGGTAGGGTTCGAGGTTTCAAGGGGTTTTAGCGAGTTTGACATTTTGTTGCAAGGTTTTCTCAGACATTCCAGAAGTTTTCATGTTGTCATTATACGGTTTCCTCAGCGGGCGTTCTACACCGTAATAACGTTTTCTGATCGGCTAGGAGTTCAGCGTTTAAGCTTTAGGGTTTGAGCCTAGGCTTCAGGAAGGAGGGTTTTCGTGGTTTAACAGTTGGCAAGTTGGACTTACCATTCTCTGCCTGCATGTACTTCCGTACTTCAGACGACGAATGTAGGGTTTACGGTGTAGGGGCTTAGGGTTTAGGGTTAGGCCTTGTGCGATTTGTCAGGCTCAGGGAGGTTCCTGTTTGAAGCTCTAGACCCGTTTTATTCAGTTGTTCAGGCCACCATACCCTAAACCCTAATGCTAAACTCTTAAAGTAGCGCTTGTAGAGCAACCTTAGGCCCCCCAGACCCTAAACCTACACAAACCCCTAAAAGGAACCCTGAAACAAGCCATAATTAGACCCTTATAGGAGCCCTTAAGGCGGCAACGCTAGGAAGCAACCCTTTAAACGAGCCCTCAATCGAACCCTATTTAGCGAATCAGGTCACTTAGTACATAGGGTGATAAGTAAGGTAAATATGGTTGTTTCTACTGATTACCCTAATTCGGGTACTTATAGCTCTGCTTACTAATTCCCCTCATCCTCTAAGTATGGAGGATTTTAGAGCTGTGCCTTGACAAACCACCCAAACCGTAGAACCCAAACCCAGCACCCCAAACTCTACAGCCCAAAACATAAACTCTTTGGAACCCTTAAAAGGACGCCCTTCTAGAACCTTTCAGGGGGTCCCTGAAAAGGGAACCCTCCTATTTCTTCTTGCCGATGGCACCTCAACCCTTAGAACCCTAAACCGTATAGGACCTTGTAAGCAGCCTTCTTAGGGAATTCTATAAGGAACCTTTCAGGAAGCCCTTTTAATGGAATTCTTCAAGGAACCCTCTAAGCTACTAAGTCCCCAGATCCTACAAGTAAGCCCTAAACCCCAAACTACAAAGCCTAAACCCTAATCCCTAAAACCTAAACCCCCTAAGCCCTCACCCCCTAATCCCCAACCCCTATACCCTCTAAACCCTATACCCTGTACCCTCTAAACCCTAACCCCCAACCCCCCTGATCCCTATGCCAGAGGCGCCTCAGACCTGGCAGCGCCTTGCAGAGCCCGGAGCCCCAGATGCTATGAAGGGGCTCCTTTTAAAGGGTTAAGGGTTAAGAGTTTAGGGTTTAGGGTTTAGGGGTTTAGGGCAATACCCCTTAATTAAGGATTATACCTTAAGTTATACTTGGAGGGTCGGGGGACTTAGTAAGTAGTTAGTAAGTAAACTTATAAGTACCCTAAAAGGGACCCTAATTGTGGTTATGGTACTTCTAAGTCCCTAAAATAACCAGTTACTAAGTCCCCCGACCCTCCAAGTAGGCACCCCAACTACCCTCTAAGATACCCCCAATACCCACCATTAGGGACCATAAGGGCTCCATTCAAGTAGTAGATATAACTGAGTGGGGTTCCTTTAAGTAAGCCGTTTAGGGTTTAGGATCTGGGGTTTAGCGTTTTGGGTTTTAAGGGCTACTTGGAGGGACCTTAAGCCTTAAATCCTAAACCCTAACCCCTAAACCCCTAAAACCTAAACCCTAGACCCTAAACCCCTAAACCCCGGGTTCTTTTCAGGTCTCTGTAGTGCTCCTTCTGGGGTTCTATAAGGCTTTCTCTAAGGGTCTATAGCGTTTTAGGGTTTAGGGATTTAGTTTTGGGGATTTACGTGCCTTAATTAATAAGGCATCGCAGCAGATGTAACTATAGTTGTTGTAAATTATCACCCTACTTACTACGTCCTCTGATTCTCTAGATAGGGTTCCATTAAGGCCTCCTTTAAAGCGATGCTTCCAAGGGAACTTAAGGGCTCCTATGAGGGGTTCATGGTTTATTTGGGGGTCCTTTTTAAGGGTTCCTTTGATGCATTCCGGATGTGGTCATGATGATCATGGGCTCCAGCGCACATTTCGTGATGTTTCCTGGACCCGCACGCCTACGTGAACTCCTCCCCCCAACAGTGTACGTTCCTTGCACGATTCTTTGAGCAGTTTGGGTTTGCAGATCCCGGTGAATTCGTGGCTCCGGCTTTTTAACAGTAATTCGGGAGGTCCACCAGCGGTTGGTCACACTCAACGGGTTCTATCATACCCGTTGGATGGTCTCCACCGGTACATGGCCCTTTGAGCCAACGGGAAGGCATTCCCTAAACCCCGGTCCCTGTATCAAGTGTTTGGGTAGTGTTTGGGTTGTTTGGTTCTGGACCTATCGCACCAACCCTGATTGATCAGCTCCTGTGCTGCCTGGATTATAGCTCCATTACTTAATCGCATGGTCGTCACCAAACTTCGGAGCAACGCTCCTGACCTGTACGCGGCTCTGATTCGGCTCGATGCCGACATAGACGGCTGGATAGCCTCCCGGGTTGCATTTTCTCTTGCTGCTTTGGGCGTGGAGTATCGCCCGTTGAGCACAGCTGAGGGAATACTCAGTCTACTGTCCCATGATGAGGTCATCAAGCGGCCCACGCCATAGTCTGCCGCTCGGTCATAGCGAGGCTGCTTGCTCGCAGTGAGACAGCCGCATGTTCTGTCTAGTGATCCATGCCCCATGCTGACGTCAACGCTCAAGGCTGGCCGAAAGTGCAAAGCCCTGAATGTGTCGTTAGGGTTTAGGGTTTGGGGCCGGCTAGGACCCAGAGTAGGCCCTTATTCCCTCTTTTAGGGTTCAGGGTCCCTTATAACCACCTTGAAACCAAAAAGCGCACCCTTTTTATTCCTAGGTTCCTCTTGGGTCTAGTTTGGGGTTTGGGGGGTTTGGCATTGGGGTTTGCGGTTTAGGGTTTAGGGGTTTAGGGGGTTTGCGGTTTAGGGTTCTATTGAAGCCTGTTGTTGCTTCAAGTATATCCCTACTTACGAAGCCCCCTGCTCCTTTCAGTAGGACTGCGGGTGAGTGGGCTTCCCAGGGCCTCCAAAACCCCTTTATTAAGAAAGATACCTTAAATTGTAATAGGAGCCCTTATATGACTTAAGGTATATTCCTTAATTAAGGGGTTTTGGAGGCTCTGGGTTGTGGTTTAGCGGTCCATGGGTTTCAAGCCCAAGCCGCAAGCTCGAAGTCTCAGACCCTTAGCAAACCTCCGGCACCTTAAGCCTTAAACCTCAAACCGTCATGAATCATGAATCAAGACCCGGTCTGCGAAATACCGTAAACTGTAGACCCGCAATTCCGAATTCCTGAAGCTGTCAGGCAAGGTAACTGTAACTATATATACTTGTAACCCCACTTATTCTTTTCAAACCCCCTACTTACTCAGTCTCCTGGCCCCCTAAGTGGTCTGCATCTGTCTTGGTATCCAGAGAGCCCAATACCCCTTAATTAAGGAATACGGCTTGAATTATATAGAATAGGGCTTCATCTTATGGTTTCAGCTATATTCCTCAATTAAGGTGTATTGGGCTCTCGTGGCAGCGCCTTGAGGACGGACTTGGGGATGCCTGTACGAAGGATTTGAGAGTGTTTATGTGTACGGGATCATTGGATTCTGGGTTTACGGTGCAACTAGCGAAACCCCTCAACACGAAAACCCTAAATCGTAAGCCGTAATCCCAGACTTAAAGTGTAGCGAGGGTCCGGTCAAAATCACAACTACCTTTAGCCCCAAACTCCGCCACCTCCTTGGAGTTTCAGGGGACCTAGTAACCTAGTAAGTAGGGTCATAAGTAAGGTAACTGTAGTTGCAGTATATCCTCTTTTAGCACCTTAGTTAAGGTACTTATCATCCTACTTATTACGTCCCCTATAGATCCCTTTAAGGAACCCTATAGAAGCCTTTGAGGAACCCTACTAAGTCCCATGATCCTCCAAGTACCAGAGGCTTGCAGCTGAGTCGGGGCAGGAGGACGCCGAAGCTGCAGCAGAGGCGTTCCTTTAGGGGTTCCTTTGAGGGTTCCTTCGAGGGTTCCTTTGAGGGTTGCTTTGAGGGTTCCTTTGGGGGTTCCTTTAGGGCTTCCTTTGCAGGTTCCTTTGAGGGTTCCTTTGGGGGTTCCTTCAGGGGTTCCTTGAGGGGTTCCTTGAGGGGTTCCTTTAAGGGTTTTTGTAGGGGTTCCTGTAAGGGTTCCTTTAGAGTGTTCTTAAGGGTTCCTTTAAGGTTTTTTTTAGGGTTTTTTGCAAGGGGCAGTTCAAGGGTTTCGGGGTTTCGGGTTTATGGGCTTCAGGGTTTTGGACTTAATATTTCCGGGTTTGGGGTTCAGGGCGTCGGGGTTTAGGATTCTGGGTTTAGGGTTTTTCTGGTTTAAGGGCTTGTTGTGTTGGTTTACAGTAGGGGTTTCGGGTTTTGGGTTTCGGGGTTTAGCGTTGAGGGCTTTGCAGCTCTACGGCCAGAGGTGCAGGGCTGTTCCGGCTTAGCGCATTTCGGGGCTAGCAGGGCTTCATAGGGTTGAGGGGATTAGGTTTGATGGGTTATGGGGCTAGGCTTGGAAGGGGTTTGGGTAGATACAGGGTTTGGCGATTTAAGATTCGGGGTTTTCGGCCTTAACACATGATCAGGTTTCACGATTTGCAGCAGGGTTTGTAGTGGTTAGGCACGGTTTGGCTTGGCACAGGCAGTTTGTATTTACGGGATCATCGAGGAACTGTTGCTAAAACCTCAGTTCCCTGTGTCTTATACCCCCTAAGCCCTGAACCCCAAAACCCTTACGTGAGAACAATGAGTACTTGTATGCTAAAAAACCCGTCCTCCTTTCTTGGAGGCATTATCCGCTCGGAGTATGGCTCGCTTGGCACCAACAGCGACAAACATCTGCGGCCCAAGCCCGAGACGAGTGCAGTAGCAGCGCTTGTCCACATCCGCGCAGGATCGTAACTGATCTGGGAAGACGATCCGACCGCGACAGGATCAATTGCCTTTTTCAGACTCAGGCTGGACGTTCGTTCGAGTCCTGATGCTATTGGATCGCTGGGGCTCTTCCAATTTCTAGTCTCATGGTTAGAGTTCCTACTATAACCCACTCCAAAGCCTTGGTTTTTAGATAGTAAGGCCATATATAAAGGAGCGCTTCAAAGGAACCCGATTCGAATCATTGAGGACAGTATTCTACACCCCCCCACTTCGGAAGCCTGTTTCGGCCCCTTGTTATTTTGCTTTGCACGAGTCGACTGCCATGAAAACTTTGGACCTTTGGATACAGCAGGTTCCATAAGCTTCTTTTCGGCGTCCTATAGCGGCATGGCAGCCCGTTTAAGTATCCTTTCTATACTAGAGATCTCTCCGTGGCAGGTCGCAGCAGAAAACTTGGCCGAACGACTGCCGGAGGACTTGTTACAGGGTGTTCTGCGGATTTTAAAGGTGCTTAGGGGCTCAAGTGTGGTTGTCCGGTACGCGTTCTTGCATAGAACGATATAATATGAGGGACCCTATGGCCATAGCATTCCTATCGGTTCAATTCAAGCCTTTATTTATATATTAAACTGCGAACCCCAAGCCCTACAGAATCCTGTAGGACTCTTCTAGAACCCCTGGAAGAGATATGGGGGAATAGGGGACCCTAAGATAGTACCTTAAATAGTAGGATCCTGATTATAAGGACCCCAAAATAAGGTAACCCCAATTTTCGGAAACTCCCATATTTAACCCTGAGCTGTAAACCGCATTCCCCAGAGCCAGAGCAAGCTGCCATCAGGGCATACGGCTTCTACGGGGTTACGGCTGATGATATAAATCCTGGGGTTCCTTTAAAGGAATCTATAGGGGTGTGCCTTTAAGGGATCTTTAGGGTTTTAGGGTTTAGGGTTTAGGTTGATGACATAATACCTACATTACTCCTCTGACCTGAGACTATGGGAATTATGGTATATTGCTTATTGTGGGTAATGAAGGGGTTGATATCATAAACCGTATGGGTCTTGAAAGGGTGGTGCTTTAGGACGAGTGAGACCCATGGCATTAGGCCTGAATGGGGGCTCATGGGGCCAGAATTTAGGATATGGGGTTGAGGGTTTAGGGTTAACAGTGTAGGCTTGGGTTTAGGGTTAAGGGTTTTGTATTTAGGGTTTTGTCGTTTAGGGTTTAAGGCTTAGGGTTTAGGGTTTACGGTAGGGTCCACGGTTTGGGTTCTGATAGCAAGAATAGTAGTGACCATTCTGCCGTCAATTCGTTGAGTCAGACAGATCAAATCGCCCCGGGAACGGGGACGGAGGCAAAGCGTGGTTTTGCCGGATCCCACAGATCCAATTGCCGCACAGCTTTGATCTTTCCTCCTGTCGATGATGTTATTCGCGGGGAGTATGCATTTCGGAGGAATCTTTTCCTGGAGTTGGCACGTCACTGTTACTTTTGCTTCCAGGACAGGTTCTACCTCGTGCCTGAGATTTCAGTGCTCATTCGTGCATCCCAGCTTGCCTCCGAGGTGCGCAATTTGGAGCCCTTCACCATCCTCCGCCATGACGGAGTATGCTTCCCAGAGACTCCAATATCCCTTAATTAAGGAATACATATTCCTTAAATCATATTTGGGATCCTACCATAATTTAAGAATATTTCTTAATTAAGGGATATTGGAGTCTCTGGGTTACTACACGCAAAGATCCTCTTCGAAAGATTCAGCCTGCTGCTCCCCCTGGTGTTCAACAAGTGCGACCGATGGGTTAGTCTTCATCCTGGCTAAACCCCCCAAACCCTAAACCCCTGAACCCTAAACCCCCATAAACCCATAAACCCTAAACCCTAAACCCCCCATAAACTCCTAAACCCTAAGCCCCCAAAAACCCATAAACCGCTAAACTCCTAAACCCTAAACCCTAAGCCCCCATAAACCCCATAAACCCCTAAACCCCTAAACCCCTAAAGCCTAAACCCTAAACCCCTAAACCCCCATAAACCCCTAAACCCTAAGCCCCCATAAACCCCATAAACCCCATAAACCCCTAAACCCCTAAACCCCTAAACCCTAAACCCCAAACCCTAAACCCCCCATAAACCCCTACACCCCTAAACCCCCATAAACCCCCATAAACCCCTAAACCCCCATAAACACCTAAACCCTAAACCCCAAACCCCCATAAACCCCTAAACCCCTACACCCCCAAACCCCCATAAACCCCTAAACCCTAAACCCCCATAAACCCCTAAACCCGCAAGAGTAGTAGTGACCATTCTGCCTTGAATTCGTTGAGTCGGACAGATCAAGTCGGAGTATGCTTACTACACGCAAAGATCCTCTTCGAAAGACTCAGCCTGCTGCTTCCCATCGTATTCAACAAGTACGACCGATGGGTTCGTCTTCATCCTTGCTAAACCCCCAAAACCCCAAACCCCTAAACCCTAAACCCCCCTAAACCCCCATAAACCCCTAAACCCCCATAAACTCCTAAACCCCCATAAACCCCTAAACCCTAAACCCCCCCTAAACCCTTAAACCCTAAACCCTAAACCCCGATAAACTCCTAAACCCTAAACCCTAAACCCCCATAAACCCCTAAACCCTAAACCCTAAACCCCCAAACCCCCATAAACCCCTAAACCCTAAACCCCCATAAACTCCTAAACCCTAAACCCTAAACCCCCAAACCCTAACCCCAAACCACAAACCCCGATAAACCCCTAAACCCTAAACCCCGCATTCAGTCAAGGATGAGGTCTCCGGCTTCCGGTTTTGAGCAGCGGAGAGTTCTCCTCAGTAGCTGCCCTTCTGATAACAAGGTGATATAATCCCTAGGGGTTCCTTTAAGGGATTTATAGGGTTGTAGGGTTTAGGGTTTAGGGTTTATAGAAACCCCTGGGTTTGGAGTACCATACTTGAATACTTTTGTTGGTACCTGTTCCTTAAAGGAACCATTATGAAATAAACGTCTATGCTTTTTTCTCCCCTGTTACTTCAAAGTCCAGTAAGCCATAAGGGTTTCAGAAAACATAAGATTTCAAGGGCTTGTAAAGCCTCATGCGCATAATGGGGATTTGGAGGTAAGCCGGGTGTAGAAAAAACTAGTCGTTCTACATGTAGCCCAAGACCAAAAAGACTCTGACATGCCTTTTGGAAGCTCTAGACACCCGCAGAAAGCATTCGAAATCCCCGCGCAACCTTGGCGAATCAGCGGCTTGAGCAAGTTAGGGCCGAAATTCAGTTTCTGTTTTATCCAGAGATCCCAATAACCCCTTAATCAAGGAGTATACCCTAGATCCTAAATATAAAATCCCCTCTAATTTAAGGTATAATCCTTAATTAAGGGGTATTGGGATCTTCGGCTTTGGGTAGGTATTAAGTGGAGACCTCGGAACCTTTTGCCCCTTCGAAACGCAGCTTGTGCAAGCTGCCATCCTTGCTTGTTCGCTCTCACACCGTATATAAACACCTACCACTAACCAAACCCTAAACCCTAAAACCCCTAATTAAACCCGAACCCTAAACCCAACAGCGCGGATTCCAATCCGACAGGGGGCTGCAACCATCATGCTGGGCGAGTACGTGGAGGACTCCGAGCCCAAATCTTGATCTTAGACTCCGTAGCCTTAAACCCAAAAGAATCCTTTCGAGCTTAGGTATGTGTAGGTTATATTGGGGTCGTGTGTGCCTTCGAATACGATTTGCATGGCACACTCTGGTCGGAAGAATGAATTCTACTGACTTCTTAGGGCTTCTGAATATATTTTCAGATTCGAGCCCAATTCGAAGTCTTGAGACCCCTGTATTTGCTATTGAGTGGCGCGGTTCCACAGCTTTTTTTGCACATATCTCATGTGACTCGAAGGTTTAAATTGAAGTGGGGTAACACAACAATGGAAAGAACGTTTTCCAGGCCTTTTTTGGGTTTATCGACTTCGTTTGGGGGTACCAAATGATGGAACGTTTTTCCCGACCCAATGTGTTTGTGGCGAGAAGGGCGCCCGAAACTGCAGACTTCATCTCCGGCTGTCGTCTCTTAGTTACTTGGACTAGGTTTCGTACCAATACTACTACTACTACTACTACTACTACTACTACTACTACTACTACTACTACTACTACTACTACTACTACTACTACTACTACTACTACTACTACTACTACTACTACTACTACTACTACTACTACTACTACTATTACTACTACTACAGTATTACTATACTACTAGTGTTAAGCACTCATACTCGTTCTATACTGATACTCATGGAGGATCCCGAAAGCCTAAGCCCTAAACCCAGTGACCCGACAGCTGCAGCGAAAAACCATTACGAAGCACCATGAGGGTGGTATTAAGGGGTAATTTCCCTGAGCCCATGCCCTAAAGCCGTAATCCGGCTTATAGCTCCATCAAACCGTCCAAAGCCTTCTTAAATCCCGTTGGGGTTTAGGGTTTAGGGTTTAGTGTTTAGGGGTTTAGGGTTTAGGGTATAGGAAGCCCGTTGAACCCCTACAGTCAGCGTTTGGTAGGTATATTAGGGCCCTACTGACCTGCGGTTCTAGTTGGGGATCGATCAGCACCTCAGAAAATCCCGAGCCCCGGGACCTGAAGCCTTCAATCCGTTTAAGTTGGAGATGTCATCCCGCATGACGCCGTAATTCCCCTAAACCAAATGCTAGGACCTGGAGTAGGCCCTTATTCTCTTTTTTACGGGTTCAGGTTCCCTTATAACTCCCTTTAAACCCAAAAGGGCACCCTTTTTATTCCTAGGCTACTCTTGGGTCTAGAATGCGACTTTTAGAACTGCCCTACAGTTTCAGCACCCTTCAAGCACGCACATCTTCAGCCTCGAGACATGACCTCTGGGCTCCATAGTAGTTCCATTTTGGGGGCTCATATTCAGAATCCTACAACTAGGTGGGGCTTTGGGACATTTTATATTTTCCCTTATTGGGCTTAAGAGGATCTTACCTACTAATATTTTTCAAAGGCTTTGAAAGCACCTCCTAGATAAGGTAATCCCAAAAAGTAACCACTATGGAGCCTCTGGGTAAACACATCGAAACCTGGACCGCGCAGGATTTCTACTTCCTGGATCTTGCCCTGCAGCCCAGCGGTGAGGCTCAAGAATGTCCTGAGGGGTTTCGGGTCTCAAGCTTCCCTAGGGGTACTTAGAAATAAGTTTAAAATTTGGGGCCTTATAATCCCTGAGGAACAGCTGAAATTGAAATCTTGGCTAGGGGTCTAAGTTCAGTATAGTTTAGTTCACTTTGGGACTGTTAGGGTTAGGACTTACACACAAAACTCTGGCAGCTTAGGGTAAAAGCTAAGTGTTTACTAATGTTCCGAATTTGAGTTTCAAGGCTTGCCCACAAGACCCTTCTCTGATTCTCAAAGGCTGCCATATGGGAGTTTCCGAAAATGGGGGGACCCTGATAGAGTACCCTAAGTAAGTAGTAGGATCCTTGTAACAAGGACCCCAAAATAAGGTGCTCCGAATTTTCGGAAGCTCTAAACCCTAAGCCTTTCATAGAACCCTTATTATAGCCCTAAGGGTCCAAGTACCTAATTATCATATACTCTCCCAACTAGTAAGCTACATAACTACTATCCTAAACCTAAGTACCTAATTATTGGGTCCTTTGGACCCTTAGGGTAGATCCCATTAGGGAAGTCTTACAGGATCGCTTTAAAGGAACCCCTCATTTTCGGAAGCTCCCATCTTGCAGCACAAGGCCTAAAGCCCTGTACCTTAGCACAGAATGAGACTTAAGGGGTTTAGGGTTTAGGGTTTGGGGTTTAGGGTTTAGGATTTAGGGTCTACCTTAGCACAGACTCTTTATGTGAGGCTTGAGGGAGGGAGGTTCCGAGAGATTCCAAAACCCCTTAATTAAGGCATATTCCTTAAATCATATTAGGGATCCCATTATATTCTAAGGTATATTGCCTGATGATGTGATATTGGAGTCTCCTGGGGGGGTGGGTATGTGACCCAACAGTCCCTTATTCTCCGTAGTGCTCCATTCGCTTGCCTAAGGTTCCCTAGTACCTCCCCTTTGAATCCCCCTCCCTAAGGGATCCCATAGAATCTTGTAGAGGACGGAATGATTTCCAATAGTATCCCCGTATAGTATAGTTCCCGTACAGGTCTACTTATACTCAATACCATCCAACCCTGAAAGCCCATTCTTATCCTCCACAGAAAGCCTTGGCAGAACTCTTTAAAGGAACCACTTCACTAAAGTAACCCTCCAAGAACCGCAGGTACGGAAACTCGTTGTGGTTTACTATTCAGAGACTGTAAGATCGATTCGGAGGGCAAATATTAAGGAGTCAGAGCTTACTATTCAAAAATGTGATGTCGTAATGATTCAGACCATCATATGCCTTTGGATCGATCCTGGGATTTTCTGAGCTATTGTGGCACTCATGGTTCCACTTCTACAGCTCACAGTCGCGCTCGCAGGGTGCGCGGCGCATCGCCGTGGTCTTGGATGCAGCCAGTGCCGCAGATGCCCAGGTGTCGAGGGTTTGGGGTGTAGAGGAGGCCTTTGGGGCGAGCATGAACATAAACTATTGAAACCTAGCCTCCTTCCTTGAGGAATCCAGCCGTGTAAAGCTTGCGTTCAGCTGCTTTTTGGGGCTGCGACATCATGCTTGATTTTGCACTCAGCGTGTGATGCTTACTGGCACTTCGTGCTCTGGGCCACATAATCTGAGCAAGACAGGGTCCTGCATAGTTACCGTGGAATAGGGTTCCCGTTGTAAGTATGCAGTGGTCGTACAGGCTACCGCAAGCCCCTGTTGAAATCATGAAGGCCTCTATATATGACACCTGTGTGGATAGAAAGGTGCATTACAGGTACTCTATTAAGTGCAGGGTTGACAGTTGCATCTGTACGTCTTCTTACGCCCGACTTCCTACTCCTTAAAGCAGGGTTGGGTTGAAAGCTAAAGCCATGAACCTGCAAACCCCTAAACCCCTAAACCCTAAACCCTAAACCCTAAACCCCTTGACCCTTCAAGTCGAGCCCTAGGACGCCTACCCCCATACCTCTAACCCCCCTTGAAGCATGTCTATTTTTAGGGTTTAGGGTTTAGGGTTTAGGGTCTAGGCGGAGGCTAAAACGCGCAGAGGCGCCCCACAGCCCCTTCACCACGCTCAAGTGCCGTCATCTTCGGAAGCTCGGTTGGCCAACCAGCCTCGGTTTTATCGTAGTATTATGGTTGTCGTTACGGCGATTACTAACTGTAACAGTAACAACAATAATATTGTTACTTCGTGTTGTTTGTGGTTGTGATTTAGATATTATGATAGTCTTTTTATTTTCTTGTAGGCTTATTTTGTTCTTGATTCCATATGTGTTCGCACGTTTACTTTTGGACTCTCGGTTTTACGCACGAGGGGACCGGCGAAGGCTTTTGGGGCGGTGAGGGGTCTAGGGGTTTAGTGTTTGGGGGGTTTTGTAGGGTTTAGGGTTTGGAGGTTTGGGGTTGAGGGTTCAGGGTTTAGGTGCTGAGGGTTTTGGGGATTTCGGGTTTAGGTTTTTTGAGTGCGGCGCAGGTGGGCTGGGGGGTTTGGTCTTGGGATGCGCTAAATGCCAACAGAGAGGTTTGAATAATTGGCAGTAGCACTTGGCAACCCCTGCTACAATTGCCACAAATATCTCCAGAGCTCGTTTGGCTGCCAAATCAATTTTCAGCCTGTATAAAGCCATGAGACAATCGTATATAGAGCCTTAGGTATCCCAGCGTTTCTATAGTGAATGCTTTATTTACGACTTGTTGAGACCCCTGCATAAAACCATTCGGAACCCCTGTAGAAAACCTCAACACCTTCTTTATGTTAACTGTTAATGTAGTGCTCAGCCCGCATAAAAGCCTACAGCGCCACGTTCTTCTATTAAAGTCATCTTTATCAAACGCCAGGGACGTGGAATGGATGCCCCTCCGCCGTTGGGAGATGGATGAGGAGGCCGGTGGTTTCGGGCAGATGTTGAAGATTCAAAGTTGGGCTTGCTAGACCCTAAGCCCCAAGACGCTACGCCCTAAACCCAAGACCGTAAACCCTAAACCCTAAACCCCTAAATACTAAATCCTAAACCCCAACAAACCCTAAGCCCCTAAGTTCCTGAACCCGAAGCCCCATGAGGGTTCAGCGTTTAAGATTTCGGCATGAAACTTCAAACATCGGGTATGAGACTTCGGGTTCGCGCTTCAGGCTCAGGATGCACGCTTGGGATTTCGAGCAGTGGGTTGCAGGACTGATAAACTCAACTGTGGGTCCCATTTTCTAAGGACTCTATTCGAAAACTGTCGTATTCTGTTGGGGTCCCACTTCAGAGAACTACCCCAACTAGAAGCCTCAATAGTGTTACCACAGCATAAAGATCTTCCCCTAAACCCTTGACCCTAAACCATGCTCAGAACTCCTTTCCACTAGTCAGCAGGCCACAGTTGCTTTTGTATATCTGCAAGCTCACTATACCCATGATGCTGAAGAAATCCTACGACTATATGGGCCTAAATGATTTCCTATACTCTTTTGGGGGTTCCTTATTATGGAACTAGTATAATGGGCCCCAGAACCCTATTCTAACTAGTAAAGTCCCTCTACTAGATGTTGCGTCGAAAACCGCGCGACCTCTCCGGCATCTGGGACTCGGGGTAGGGACCCAGAGAGCCCAATACTCCTTGATTTAGGAATATTGCTTAAGTCATAGTATGAAGGTTTATATAATGTGAGCCATATTCCCTCAATTCCCTTATATAGTACCCTTATAGATCCCTTTAAGGAGCCCTTTAAAGGAACCCTTGTATCGTATTCCTATAATTAAGGGGCATTGGGCTCTCTGGGGAGTAGCAGGCTCCACGGGCGGAGCCTTTAGCGCAGCCTCTGCACCCCGAAGCTACCGATCGCACTCACTCGACCCGAGAAGCAGGCTGCCCGCCGCCCCGGGTACTATAGCCTCTAATGAAGGGGTCATGACCTACTATCTTGTAGGGTGTGGGGTAATAGTTACCAATGCTATTTCGGGGGCTCCTTATTATACTTCTATTATAATGGCCCCAACACCCTATTCCAATTATTAAGGCCCCTATATGAAAGCTGCGGCCTTCGACTTAGCGCAATCCAAACCCAAAGTCCTAATTCGACCTTACTCCACCCAACCTTCAAAAACTTTTTGGGTTCTTACAGTTTAGTAGTAGCCGGAAACTTTAGCCTTCATTTCTGCGGCTTTTTTTGGGGAAGTAAGTTTGGGTCTTAAACCCGAAGTCCCACACCCTCAACCCCGAATCGGACAGCTCACTTAGAGGTTCAGGAGACTTAGTCAGTATGGTTTATGACTAAGGTAACTATGCTTATAACGGTTCATAGCCCCAATAAAGCCACATATAGCTTTGATATTAATGTAACGATGCTTAGAATGGCTTGTAACCCAAATACCGCTACTTATAGCCTTGCTACTTTCGTAGCCCCAATAAAGCCACGTATAGTTTTGCTACTAAGGTAACGATGCTTAGAATGGCTTGTAGCCCCAATACGGATACTTATGGCCTTGCTACTAGGGTAACTAATTGTGCTTATATATACCGGTTCATAGCCCCAATAAAACCACGTATAGTTTTGCTACTAGTGTTATAGCGGTTCGTAGCCCCAATAAAGCTAAGCATAGTGTTGCTACTAATGTAACGATGCTTAGAATGGCTTGTAGCCCCACTACGATTACCTATAGCCTCGCTACTTTCGTAGCCCCAATAAAGCCACGTACAGTTTTGCTACTAATGTAACGATGCTTATAATGGCGTGTAGCCCCAGCACGGCTACTTATAGCCTTGCTACTAAGGTAATTAAATATGCTTATAACGGTTCGTAGCCCCAATAAAGCTACGCATAGTTTTGCTTACGAAGTCCCATGATACTCCAAGTAACCCCTAAACCCTAAACCCTTCTAGTACCCGCTATAGATCCCTTAAAGGGGCCCTATAGATCCCTTTAAGGAGCCCTTTAGGGAACCCTACTTCAACGAGACGCCCAGCGCTCACATGCGAGGCTCGAGCGGAGATGGTCGAGCGGCTCTTTGCGGCCTCTGGGCGAAGGTGAGCACTGCGAAATGGAAAAGCGCACGAAGAACCTAGGGCTTTCGGCTCGGCTTGGTTTTCGGGTTTAGGCAGTATAGTAGGCTTCAGGGTTTACGACTCCAAAGCCCTTTGAATAAGTAATACATGTTAAATCATGTGAGGGCTCCTGACATAATTTAGGGGATATTCCTCGACTATGGGGTTTTGGAGTCTCGGGGAGATTGTGGGAAGAGGATCTGGGCTCAGCGGTCTGGAGTCGAGTTTGGGTATTCGAGATACAGTTTACGGTCATTCCGGCAAAGATGCGGCGCTCGGGGTCAGGAATTGTTCAATGACACGCCTTTTTTCCCGCAGTTTGAAACTTGACAGACAGTTTGGGCAAGCTGAAGTGATTGCAGCCCCCGGCCTTGCACACGGTAGACCTCAAAACTCAAACCTCAGACGTCTAGGACCCGGGACTTTGGAGGTTTTCCAGAAGCCGGAACCTCCTTCAACCCTGAGCACTAGAACTTGAGACAGTTTGCCGTGGTCTTCCGGCTTTCTGGTTTGCGGGGGGTTTCGGATTTAAGCAGGGTTTCGGGTTTAGACCTAAACCCTAAACCCTTGGGCTTTACGGAAGGTTCGAATTTTTGGTTTCAAATTTACAAGACTGAGATCGGCCCGGGCCAGCCTTCCTACAAATAAGGTGCCGAAATAGTCATTACCAATACAATTAGAATAGGGTTCTGTTCTATTAAAGGGGTCTCTAGGGGCTTACTATAAGGGCTATAAAAAGGATTTAGTAAATAGGTACCTATACTGTTTTGGGAGTTCCTTATTTTGACTTCGGATTCTAGTATATAGTAATATAGTACAATGGGCCCCGAAACCCTATTCTAATTATTTAGGCGCCTGTATTACTCAAACGGTTTCCCCTGCAGCCACAGCCCGTTGTTTGAAGCATCGAAGCAGACTCCAACCACTGCTGCCTAAACCTTGCAGCCCATACCAGGGTTTGGGGGGGTTTAGGGTTTAAGGTTTATACTAAGATTCCTCAAAGATCTTCACAGCATACCATCGAAGCCCAATTTGTCTCATGTCGGGTTTCTCTGCAGGCCTCACGAGCAACCAGAGTTCTTCTCGCTCCTCGCACAACACAGTGTTGCCAGAGACTCCAATACCCCTTAATTAAGGAATATACCTTAAGTTATAGTAGGATCCCTAATCTGATTTAAGGAATATTCCTTAATAGTAGGATCCCTAATATGATTTATGGAATATTCCTTAATTAAGGGATATTGGAGTCTCGGCGTTGACATGAGTTCTTCAATTGAAGCCTAGTGCCGCGCTGCATATCTCAAGTCTCAGAGTTGTGTAGAGCTTCATATGAAGCCCAAGACATTGAATCACCCATGACTATCCTTGACCAGGAGGCTAAGCCCGACAAATATGAAAACCCTAAGCCTTTAAACCCGGTAACCCGAAACCCCAAAACGCCTCCTCAAAAACCCAACCCCCCACATCGCCTACCCTACTCTCAAACCCTACGACCCCCTAATTTCTTGTGCAATACTCTCCAATGAAAGGAACCCTTACAGGACGCCCCCCCCACATTCGTGCCCAGAGACTCCAATATTCCTTAATGAAGGAATATTCCTTGAATTATATGGTAGGATCCCTTATATGATTTAAGGTATATTCCTTAATTAAGGGATATTGGAGCCCCCTAAACCCTAAACCCTATAGATCCCTTATAGATCCCATAAAAGAAACCCTAGGTATATTCCTTAATTAAGGGATATTGGAGTCTCTGGGTGTCCCTTTCGGGCCATGCGAGCCGGCGATGCGTCTTCACCCGAAGGTCGAGTCAACTCCGGCGCGAAGGCCACTTGGGCTCCTGGAATAGCCGTGGGTTCCTAAGGAATCACTTCCTAGGATGCCCAGTAGTACCCTTATTCCCTTTTTGTAGTCCTAGGTTCCTTATAAAGTTACCCAATACCAAAAAGAGAGGGCTTTTTATTCTTAGGTTACTGGGTATCCTAGCTTCTCATCTATATAGTGTAAACCCAAGGGATCATTGAACACACACACACCACACACACACACACACACACACACACACACACACACACACACACACACACACACACACACACACACACACACACACACACACACCCACACACACACACACACACACACACACACACACACACACACACCCACACACACACCCACACCCACACCCACACACACACACACACACACACACACACACACACACACACACA